TATATCCGTACCGAAAACTATAAAATTTACGTAGCATTTTCCTAATTGTTTCTTTTAAAAGCGCCAAGTGAATCACTATCTCTAATTTCATTGTCAAGCTTGTTTCAAAGTTTGGCTCCAACACAGGCGATGGCCTTCTTTAGTGTACTGGTCCCGTGGCACGGAATATTAAAATAGAGTTATTCCGTGAGAATATAACTCGTCTCACGTTCAACGAGTAAATCATGAAGAGGGGTAGGCGTAGCATGAAAACGGTTGTGGGCTAAAAACAGTAACCGCTGACAATACGTTTGCCGAAGAGGCAAACAATTCGCAGTGTTCAAAATGTATTCCGTTGGTGCACACCAATCCAGGCGATAAATAATATTTGCTGCTCCCACATGAGTCCGTTCAATATCGTCAAACAAGCTCATAAGCCTCTGGGGCTGGTTGTTCAAAGCCTGATTAAGCTAACCCAGGTTTAGGGAGAATTTTGACTTGAGTTTTGTAACTCTTCAGTGAGGTTTTCTCTTTATAATGTTCGTCCTTTAGTGTTGAATTTGAATAATCTCAAAGTATACAAAGCATACCAAAGTAAAACATTTATATCCAAGAAAAATGTATACTTTCGGTTAACTTTTAATCCTGGGTTAACGTTAACCGGTTTTCGAACAACCCGGCCCAGATGACTAGGTCATAAGTAATAGGTGGTAAATGACCTTTTAGTAGAAATCTAAGCGAGCGTTAATCGGGAAAAAAATTAAATGAGTTCTGAAGATTTAATCTCTGTATGAATGTTTTACTGAACTCTGAAACATGCTTGTTCCACTTGATTTCACTCTCGATTTTTTGGCTAAACACCTAATAGGGGCCACTTGAGATAATTGCGTTGCCGAGTCTAATTCCCTGTAAGGGACCACTGAACGATCCAAGTTGCATTAAAATGAATTCGGTCTTTCCAGGATGTGGGGAGCAGATTATTTCAGTTTCATTTTGTGAATTCACCAAGAATTTTAAAATTGAGTTCGCTGGTAACAGTATCAGGTGCAGGCCCTATCACATATTATAATAATAATAATAATAGTCTAAACTCGTCACGTAACTGAATGTCCCCAGCCAAAACTGGGGAATATCGCAGTGATATTCCCTAATTTTCAAAACCGCTCGTGCTTCGAAACATTTTTGAAGGATAAGAAACACAATAATAATAATAATAATAATAATNTGAATTCGGTCTTTCCAGGATGTGGGGAGCAGATGATTTCAGTTTCATTTTGTGAATTCACCAAGAATTTTAAAATTGAGTTCGCTGGTAACAGTATCAGGTGCAGGCCCTATCACATATAGTAATAATAATAATAATAATAATAATAATAATAACAGCAACAACAACAACAACAACAACAACAGCAACAACAACAACAATAACAACAACAACAATAATAATAATAATAATAATAATAATAATAATAATGGTAGTGTCATTGGCGTACATATGAAGATTTATAATCCATCAAATATTTCGTTGCGCGCGATTGGTCTAAACTCGTCACGTAACTGAATACCCCCAGCCAAAACTGGGGAATATCGCAGTGATATTCCCTAATTTTCAAAACCGCTCGTGCTGCGAAACATTTTTGAAGGATAATAAACACAATAATAATAATAATAATAATAATAATAATAATAATAATAATAATGGTAGTGCCATTGGCGTACATATGAAGATTTATGATCCATCAAATATTTCGCTTGCGCGCGATTGGTCTAAACTCGTC